TTTTATAAATGCACAGTGTCTGAGTGATGACTGCAGCTCACTTCCAAAGATGTTTTGAGGGGCTGGTGAGATGGCTCAGTGGTCTAAAGCACCTACTTAGAACAAGCTTAGCAAAGCACAGGGACTGCGGTTCAATCCCCCAGCACCACATGCCAGCCAGCCCCACCCCTTGGTGGGCTGAGCTGGCCACACACACACACACACACACACACACAAATAAATTAAAAAAAAAAAAGATGTTTTGAAGCACACTGATGTCAGTAGATGAGTCCTTGTGACATTTTTACGTTCTTTATGTCAGTGAATAGTATTGCTGAATGTTGGGTTGTAATTGATGTTTTTGAAACACTTGGTTATGGGTCCAGTTGAGACTGTGAAACAGGGATTTCCCAGAACAAAGAACTGTTATCAGGACTAATGATTCAGATTTGTTCTTTTACTCATTGAATGTCCTGAGCTGGTAAGGTTGTAGGCCCGCCCAGAGAGGAATTCCACTGTTGATGCCTGAAAGGAAGCAAGTGTCAGTAGTCCAGAACAGAGCGAAAGAGTAGTGATCATATATTGCAACATCATTTAGTGAGGAGGACTGCTTTTCTTAGTGCCAGAATATCCTAATACAGAGAAAAAAGCCCAACCTTATGTTTTATATTGTAAAATAAAATTTGTGTATATTTAAGGTATATATGTCATTTAATATATCTCTACAGTAAAATGATTAGTGTGGTGAAATAAATGAATATCCATCATCTTAAATCGTTTACCCACTTTTCCCTGAAGCAAGAACAGCTGTACTCTGCTCGTTTAGCAAAAATCCTGAGTACATTACACTTACTAATTACTGTCCTTATTTATGTTATATCTTTTTCTTTTTTTTAATTCTTTCTATACAGGTTCCTTCAGTTCAGACTTGTAGTGATCCTCCTGTCTCAGCCACCCCAGTGTTGGGATTACAAGTGTGCACTACCATGCCTGGTTTCAAGGCCAGCAGTGTGCCCGGGGTTCTGAGGCCAGCATGGCATGTGATACTGGGGATCAGACTCAGGTCCTAGCGTTTGCCAGGCAGGCTCTTAGACCACCGAGCTATCTACCTACTTCATGTATGTTATATTTTCATATCCTTTATATTTGCTGTTTTGTATCTTTTGAACTACACCTCTCCTTTTGCTCTTCCCATCCTGACCCTGGTAATCAGTTTATATATTTGACCTGTTAAAAGACTTTTTAAAGATTCCACAGGTCTAATGAACTTATTTTATAATCCCCCCGCCCCCATATTGAGGATTGAGCCCAGGGTTTTCACGTTGAGCTACGTCAGTCCTTTTTGTATTTTATTTTGAGACAGGATCTACCTACATTGCTCAGGCTGGGCTGCAACTTTCAGTCCTCTTGTCTCAGCCTCCCACTGGGATTGCATGCATGTGCTTAATGTAAGACATAACTTGTAGGTTCTTTTTGGTTGTACTGTTGTATATAAGAAAGTATTTGATAATTGATCCGTATCTATATGTTGCTAAACAGTTAATATGATGTACTTTAAAATGGCTTTATATGTGATGTTTTGAATGTGATATTTACCTGAATATATATGACAGTTGCCCTTTGTTCTTACACTGTGTTTGGGTTCAATTGCTTTTCCACATTCCTTCTGCCAGCTCCCTTTCCCAGTGTATTGTGCTGTGTAACAAGTCACCTCAGCACTTAGTGACTTTATGCTATGATATATTCATTTTTGTGATGTGAAGGTTGACTGAATGGTTCTGCTGGTCTCACTTAGGGTCACTGACATGGTTGAGTCATCTGGTGATAGGCTGCTGTGGCCTAAGTAGTCAATTTGAATTTTTTCATGCTCTAGTGGTGTCAGAGTGGTCAGAATTTTTAAATAGAGGTTGGTTTCCAAAAACCAAAGCAGAGGTTACTAGGCCTCTTAAAAGGAGGTCCAGGACCTGACAAGTATCACTTGTCACAATTCTCTTGATCAGAATAGTTAAAGGAAGCAGGAATAGCTTTTATCTCTTGAAAGGAAGAGGGAACTGGGCTTGGATCAGGAATAGATGGTAAGATGGTGTACTGTGGCATTGAAGGCTATTTGTATCACTGTTTTGTCCTAGAAAATTAATTTCACAAGTGGACTTTTAAGTACATAAATATTTAAGAATTCTTATATTTTGCCAGGTTATCTTTTCAGTAAGGTGCCACTTATGATATGTAAATGTGTTCACTAGCATAGTTTTTAGGTTGATGTATGTGTGATAGCTCATAGTTCTTGTAGTTGCATTCTTTTTTTTTTTTAATCTATTT